CCTCTGCCTCACCCGGCTGCTGATGCTGGCCGCCTTCCCCCTCTGCTACCCGCTCAGCCGGTTGCTGGACTGGGCACTGCGACAGGACTCAGCGTCTTCTCTACGCGGCGCGGCTGCTGAGACGCCTGCGCGCCGCTGGCCCCACGGAGACTGGTGCGGGAGGAAGTTGGCCATGGTGCAGGGCGCGCTGGAGCTGCGCCACAGGTGTGGAGGATGTGCTGACCCGCTGGCGGACTGCTTCACTGCTCCGGCCGATGCCGTGCTGGACTTCGCCACCGTCTCTGAGATCCTCCGTTCTGGCTACACCCGCATCCCAGTCTATGAGGGTGACCGGCGCGACAATATTGTCGACCTGCTCTTTGTCAAGGACCTGGCCTTTGTCGACCCCGATGACTGCACTCCCCTGCAGACTGTCACCCGCTTCTACCGCCGCCCGCTCCACTGCGTCTTCAACGACACACGCCTCGACACGCTGCTTGAGGAGTTCAAGAAGGGTGAGGCCACCGGGCCACCACCTCCCGGGCTCCCCCTGCACCCCTCTGCACCCCCAATGATTTCCAGGTCAGCAGCCCCCATGGGCATCCCTGCGTGGCCTCCTGGCAGGATGCTGCAGGTACCAGGGATGCTGGGGGGAGTTGGGCCCTGCATGCACTGGTGTGGCGATGACCCTGCTGTCACCTGGTGGAAGATCCTCAGGTGGATTGAGGGCCTACAATGCTGGTTGTACCTGTGATGTTATGGAGCCTTCGGCCTCACACGTTGCTGGCTCAGCAGGTGAGCCTGTCCCGCAAGGCTCATGTCTCTGCAGGAGTCTGGCACGATGGGCATGGTGCCTGCCTTGCACCCTTGCCCAGGCAAAGCAGCATTCGCTGCACTGTTCTGTGCAGAGGAGTTTATGACAGGAAATCACATCTCATTACTTCGCTTTCACATTTTCAGCTTAGCAGTGAGAAACAGGTTTAAAAAGTGTTTCTGTGTAAGTGGTTTAAAGGCAGAAGAAAAGCCTAAGCCCTTAGAAGGAGATGTACTTTTTTTTTTTTTTTGCAGCTGTGACAGCATTCATAATGCAGCAGCTGCCAGCAGCCCCAGAGATGCTGAGAGCTGTATTTCATTAACCATACCTTGAGAATACGCACAGCATGTGTTTTGCCCTCCCACTGGGAATTGTGTGTTGCCGCGTTACTCGGTACGTCATACTGTGGTGAGTGAGTCTTTAAGAAATGGCTGCAGCAATGACATGCTGCATTATGTAATGCAGGAGGGCAGCATTTGGCTCCTGGGCTGCCTGGGGCTGCTCTGCCGCAGGCAGAGCTGGTCATGTGAGAAAGGCCACCCTGGTCCACTCCAGATACAGAGAAAGCCTCTCTGTGAGTCATCTCCGTGCTCTTTTTTAGAGCTGGGAGGAGGAGAGGATAGGATTTTTCTCGTGCACTGGGAAAGTGATCATCAGATACATGCAGGTCAGCATCTTCTCTGGAGATGCTCAGCTGTGTCCCCACGACTGCTCAGGATCAGAGGCAGAGGAGTTTTGTGTGGCATGCACCACCTGCCCTCTCTGCCCCTCCACAGGACTGGAAACTTCCAATGGTGCAAATCAGCAAATTCCTGGGCTTACTATACAACTGTTAGCAAAACCATTGGGATTGCTGTCTGAGTTCAGCCTTGGTGAGCTGCAGCAATCCGTGCCTGCCCCTGTTCCCCTATGCCATTTATCTCTCCTCTTCCTAATTCCTTATGCACTTCACAGTTCTTCCTTAACTGTGTCTTCCTGCATGACACTACAACTGTACTGAAGTTCAACTGAGGTCTCTGCTACCTCTCTCTTGTCTAGAGATATCAGATGACTTTGGCACCCTCTCCCTTGGTCAGCCTCTCCTGCAATTTATCTGACTTACTTTGATATACTTCCCCCTCCAAATTTGTTCTGGTACCTTATGGATGAACAGACCTATAGAAATAGACTTATGGTTGCTTAGCTCCCTGCCTTTTGCTTGCTGTCCTCTCTGCCCTCCTTAAACAGAGGTGTTCCATGTGTGCCGCCCCCTGAGCTCACAGGTACACTAACAAGCCTTGCTATCTGCCCTACACTTTTTCATGCTAGTCTTCATCTCAGATGAAGATGATCCATCCTTTAAGTTTGCTCCATTAAAGTCTTGGCATATCACTTCAGATTATTCTTCCTTTACATCTGCCTGCCATCATGGCCTTCTGGGGTGTTTTGCTACAGCCCCTATTTAGAGCTCTCCCTGAAACTTTTTTCCGTTCCCACCTCGCTTCTACCTGTGTTTTCTAAATTACATGTCTGAAAAGCCTTGCTTTTGGTCTTAGTATATAACTCATCATGGTGTTTAGCAATCCCAGCTCTTCCCCAGATGTTATTCTCCAAGTGTTGATGTTCTCCTCTAACTCATCTTTCCCCTATTTGTAGGCATTTGTTCACCCCCAGCACTCTGAGTCTGTAGATAGTCACCTGCCAAGAGCCCAGCACTTAACCCTCCTAAACTCTCTTTTCCCAGTTCCAAATACAGGTTCTCGTGCTGGCTCCTGTACTGTGACAGATGTTTGCTCCCAGCTGTCTTCAGCCTCATCCACTGCTGTGTCAGCCCTGTTCACTTGACCACTTAATTTCTAAAATAAAAATTTCCCATTTGTAATTAAGAATCTTCATCACTGTCTCCTTTTCTGTGTCCGTTTGAATTATGGTGAAGTATTTTGTTTGATCCAATCAAGATTGCTTTCCATGGCCAGGTCTTCTGTGACATCTCCACTAATTAGAAAGTAGGCTGATTGCTTGTTGGCTCAGCAAGTGCTTAATGAAGGCATTCATCACTTTGCACATCCAAGGTGCCTGCAGGACAGCAAATGCTCCCACTGATAAGGCCCAGTCTCCTTCTAGGAAATTAAAGTCTCTGGTAAGGATGGATATTCATAACCATCTCCAGGTCCTTATGTCCCTGAGAAGCCTCTAGAGAAACCTTGCCAGCTTTTCTTTCTGTCTCCTGCGATTAACTCAAACAGGTTTTGTATCCTTTATTTATTTTTATTATTATAGTTTTTATAGAAAATACCCATAACATTTTATATCTTTCTTTCCTGGATAGCAATGTGTACTTCTGATCTGTTTCATGAATGATTAATGTTTTGCCACATCCACTATACCAGTAATGTCAATTTTTGCATAACATATAAGTAACACAATTTCACTGCCAGAGCTCCTTGCCACAGTACACAAATCTTTGTTCTTTCTTACTGAAAATGTCAAGGGATTATTAAATACAGCACTAGCACTTTGGGACTCTTGCTCACACCTCTGGCAGCAATTCCATTTTCTGTCTCTCCTCCTACTCACCAGTATCACACTTTTATTCTTGTTTACCTCATGCATTTCTTTTCTCTCACTGTTCTGTCCTAGCTATGAAGATGTTTGGCTTTTTTTACTCTCTGGTCTTTTATAGCAGGGTTTGAAGGGAAGTTTTCCTTCATTTGTTTCTAGGTATGCTCACACTAACCTCATTCAAGCTCAGTTCCATTAAGATGCATTGATGTTTGCTTTGATTTTAATCCACAGACGAGTCGCGAATTTCCTCTCCCCCAGCAGGACTTTGTGTAGAAGGGACTACCTTCCATGGACGTGTAGCATCAGCTTTCCAAAACATTTAGATTGGTATGAAATAGTAGCATACTCTTCAGTAGCACCAAGGGAGTTAATGGCCATGTGTGGTTATGGTGCCCAAGAGCAGCTGTGAGCTCCTGGTTGACAAAACCTGGCCCCTGCCCCATCACAGCAGAACTGGTCAAACTCTTCTCATCTGCCTCTTCACAACCTTGCTGCTGCTGCCATTGTTTGATGTCTCTTTTGGCACTAATTCCTGCAGAAAGATGGTTAAATTGGGGGTCCTGATGAGAACTGGAAAAAACCCAGAGAAGGCTGCAAACGGCAGCAGAGGGGAGGTTTGGCCTGCTAGGGAATAGTTTGGACTTCAATCCACAGCCCAAAAGAGGAGGGCAGCTGCAAAAACTGTATTGAGAAACAACAGCAGTGTGAGACAGGTTCAGTTGAAGAAAGGAAATACTTGTGCTAGAAGATGGTTTTGACTTTTATCTTCTTATCAAAAGTCAGCAGAAATAACAAGGTCTGGACACCCAATTCCCTATCTTTTCAGGCAAGCTAGACAGGTTCTTATAGAAGGCATACATAGTTGTGCAGCATTTACATAGAAATGCTAAGTGAAGGACCCTACACAAAATGTGTCCCCCCTTTGCTAAAATTAAGAAAATACAAGCCAGTGTAGTAATTTTGCCACCTGCATCCAAGTGAGAGAAGATGAAGATACTGAACGAGTGAAAAAACTGGGAGACAATTTCTTGGCAATTTGTATTGATACATCTCAGAGTACCTGGCTTTATTCTAGGCTCCCTGGAGAAAATACCTATAACACCAGAGAAATAACTGCACCATATTTAGCAAGCTAAAGCAATGTAGAGGGGCAGATGAGCTTCCTGTAGGATAAACTTCACCTTGGGAATGTGGAGCTAGAATGAAAGGTTTATGCATTCATTCAGTGTGAAATGCTGTGGGTGGTGCAGTCTGTTTCTCCTCCATCCCTAGAAGATAACCAAGCAATGCGTGTTGCAGCTTCAGTCCTGTGATATAACTCCTCATGGGGACCTCTTCTGTGAGGTCCACCTCCTTGTTCTGTAGTGCCTTTGGGAAGTCATAGTCTTACCGCTTCTTCAAGTTGTTTATGGGTTTTGTTGACTGATTTCCTGGAGAATTCTATGTACAGCAGTGTCACCTTTCAGCAAGTAACTTTCCTCTGTCAGAGGAACAGTAGAAGTTTGCTCTTATGTTCATTTTCCTGCAGCAGGGCAGAGGCTGAGCTGCAACTGAAATTAGCCTTCTGTGGCTTGGTGTTTTTTAAGAGTTACTAAAAATAAATTCCCAAAAAAGCCCAAACTTCCATGCTTAGCACAGAGAACAGCCTGTCCTGTGGGGAGGACAGTTCTACCCTGGAGTTTGTCTGTCTTTGCATTTCAAAATGCTCCACAGCCTCTATTAGACTTCTGCAAGTTGAATGTAGCTGAAGAAGGTGCTTACACTTGCCAGGAACTGGGGTCAGTACCATTTCATCTGCTTTTTGTACTGTCCTTCTGAGCCTGCAGGCTTTGCAAGCAGTGTTGTTTCAAATTTAACTTGGCCTTCGAGAGATTTAGTTATAGTGTTATAGCCACTATTCTGGGCACCTTGATGGGCTGAAGCAATGACCTCCTTAGGCAGTTGTATGGGTTAAGGAGCCAGTTTTTACCCAGGAAATATCCCGTACACATCCAGGTGATTGCCAGGCTGAGAGTGGGTGAGCTGCTGATAGACAAAAAATGATTACAGTGTCTCATGGTGCAACTCTGCCTGAAACATTACTGTGCATTACCCCCCAAGCTGTGCTAAATCTTACTGTGTAAACCCTGGGCTTCTCTACCCTCCTCCAATAAGCCCAGGAACAGGCCTGCTCTGAGGAGGCATTCAGCAAATCAAGAAGGGAGCCTTATCCTCAGGGAAGAGGTCACCCCACCACTCATCTCCCTCTTGGGAGCTGTCAAAGGCACCTTCATACCGAGCTGTGGAAAAGAATAAAATGGCCAGTTACAGACACAAATGAAAACAGTTTTGTGTTGGGTCTTCAAAAGTTTTTTAGCCTGAGAAAGCCTTGGCATCCTTTTAGGCTTCCTTGGGCTCCAAGTAACATGCAAGGGGATCTGCCATTTGTGGGCAGGCAGAATCATACCCAGGAGGTCAGAACCCTGTTGCACAACAGATGGAAGATGAGGCTCCATGTCCCCTCAAATCTCCCCCTTACCCTCCTCTCTGCTTTGTCAATGGTGATTGATCAGCTAGTCCAAATATTCCATCTTTTTCACAGTTTTCATTAGGATTAGGAAAAGCACCAAAGCAGAATATGAGAAAGGCTACAGAGAGATGTAAGCAGGTGAAATTCTTGTCTCTGAAGAAGGCCTGGATTAGATTAGGATTTACGGTTTTCCCTTCGCATAGTTCTCATTCCCTTAGAGCTGGGAGACCCTGCAGCCCTCTTGGTTATTTCCCCCCTGTTTATGTGTAGATGTGCAACTCCTCAGGCTTGTGGTTTCACCCTTGGTGCAGAGTCATGATAACACACGAGCACAGTCACATACACATTTCCAGTTCAAGAAGTTCAAGTCAGAGTCCCCACTTATTTCAGGTGCAGGTCTGCAAGGGGTCTCAGAGATGCTGACAGCCCCTGTACCAGACAAGAGCTCTGAAGAACAGCACACAGAAAACAGATTTCAGTTACATCATGGTTGTTTCACAAATCGACCTTATTTAAAAATTACTCTCTTTTTTTTGCCTTCCATTTTGTAGCTGTAAATGGTTCACGGCTTGTGCCTGTACCTTTGATCTCCTAATAACAGCTTCAGATCTTACCATAAAATTTATGAAAATGAATTTCATGCTCAGAATGTTCATCCCATGCAACAAGAGACAAGGCTAAAACATCTTTAACATTCCTCTGGCAGAGCACCTACATAAAAAAATGATAAAGAAGTAGTCTGGGCTATATTTTCAGCCAACAACACTTTCTTTCCCAGAAGTAAAGGCATTTCCATGTGTTCAGACCATCTTCTCCCATTGGGGAGGATGCTTTGAGGTGGATCTATGAGCCCAAGGTCATTTAGGTGCCTACAAAAAACAGGGCTCCTAAAAATGGGCATAAAAGCTGTAGATATCTGTTCAGATGCTTGCTCCATCTGGAAGCTCTCAGCTGTTTATATTAGCTCTGTAATTTAGCATTTTGAGGCATTAACTTTCCACTGAAGCTGTTGTTTGAAAAGAGCAGATTTCATGTAGCTCATAAAGAATTTAGTGCAGTTGTATCCCATGCTGAGCAGACACTTAATCACCTATAGACTTCCTGTGCAAGAGTAGTCCTGCAGAGGCTGGCGGAGCTATTCGCACAAGAGAAGTTAATTGCCCATTTGTTCTAGCATTTGCCAAACCAATGCTTTGATTCTCAAGTGTTTCACTGTGCTTTCCTGCATCAGCGATAGCCCTGTAAAGTTCACATGTGACAGCTTGCTAGTGGGGAGGCAGCTCACCCTTATAATTCATCTCATTTGAGCTATTAGGCAGTTGTTACAATAGCATGGTTTTTGGGGTCAGTTTTATAGATCTTAAATCTGTTTTAGATCAAGTTTGGGGGTTTGTTTAAATTATTTATCTCCCTCTTGTGCTCCCACTGAGGCTGACCTGCAAGGTAATGGCTGCAGAGGAGAATGTGACCCCTCTAGTGTCTCCAGGTCTGTCACTCTGCCACCTTCCCTCAGACATTGCTTTCACTTCATAAAACTGTGCAGATTCTGCCCCTGTACAAGTGTAGCAGCTCCCAGGGCTGGGCAGAGGGATACAGCTGAGCTTGGCAGCATTGCCCAGGAGGAAGCAAGCCATGACCATACAGCCGGGGCATCTGCAACCCCTCCACCCAAATTTATCAGGTCAAAATGTATAGAATCTGTTAAAAAATGAATGGGAGGAGATGCAGAACCCAGCTGGGTCAGAGTGGAGGTGAGGGGCACGACTTTGCAAACAATCTCACGTCCGTCAGGTGAGAAACTGGGGCAAGTCAGCCCCTTCCCAGAGGTGATCAGCTGGGAGCAGCACTCATTTGCAAGGACTGGGACTGGGATCCAGGGCTTTTTGTGACACAGATACCAGCTGGCCAGACATGGGCTGGGATTAGCTCACTTGGCGTGGGAAGTAGCAACCACATGAACTGCAACAATTTTCCACTGCTGGGTACCTGCTCCATCTCTAATGTTGGTGTTAGCCTGGAAACTTAAACCTGGGGGTTTATAGTATGACTCCAAGTGTTTATTTTCTGTGAAAATAAAGAACTCTTGAGTGCTCTAACAGCCCTTCTGGCTCTACCCCCAGCACAGTGAAACCGTGGGTCTCCTTCCAGGCTAACAGTTCTGGCTTATTTCTAAATAATCTCGTTTGCTGCTATGTGAACACGGAGCTGGAATCACATTTCTCTGAGGCTGCTCTAGTGTAAATTACAGTGTCGATGTAGGTGTTTGGCCAAAAACAGAATTGCCTCCATCACTCTCTGACTGCCTTTAAGTAGCACCTAAGCTCTTTGTAAGGGCTTGGTGGTTTTGGGTTGCATGTAAATGTCATTAACAACAAGCTTTCAGCCAAAAGAAATAACTCCTCCTCTCTCCTTGCTCACCCGAGGAGCTGCAGGAGACCAGATGGCCCCAGTGTTTGGGAGTAGAGTTTGGCAAAGGAGACATTTTCAAAAGCTGGACTTTGCTAAGATGAAACGTAGCTGTTGCTGCTGTCTTGCAGCCAGCTCCGCTGCTTTTTTCTTTTTAAGTGCTGTGTTACTTTATTACCCACTGAAGAGACAAGATGCACAAACCTATGTATGAAAGGAGTGAATATCCCAGTCCAAAGAACATGCTTAAATTTCAGTGACCCAAGGCTATTGATTTGGGTTTTTAAAGTGCATCTCAGTGCTACTTACCGCAATGCTATGTTCTCGTTTCTAAATCTGTAGGCGTGGGAGGCAGCGAGCTGCTCTCTGAAATCTTGCAATAAAAGCTTGGTATGAGGAGGAGGGAATTTATACTGTGGAAAATGCCCAAGATTTGCTGTGAGAAATGTATAGTGCTGATCTTAGGCTGAAAAATGTCATTTGGTCGTCTCAGATCCAGGGCAGAGTTATTTGAAGGTCACATGGTCCCCAGCAAGACATGTTTGTGGGACTGGCAGGCTGCTCTGGCTGTGCTTGTCCCTGTATGTCTGTGGGGACGAGCCAGAAGGCACTAGTGGGTGAGGAGGGACATGTGCAGCAGGGAGAAGCTCACCCTGTTACATCTTTATGTATAAACACTGTGCACATCTCCTTGCCTGGAGCAGCATCTGAGCTTGCTGCGGCAGGTATATAGGAGCAGCAGAGGCAGCTGCACAGCAGGGGGGACTTGCCCCTGTTGTGGGTGACCTTTGCTGTTCGAGGAGCTCAGCTCTGAGCCCATGGGGAAAATAAGGTGTTTGCAGCTTTCCAGAGGTCCCTGCAGTGCCCATGGTATAGCTGGGCCATTGTGCGGGCATTGCAACAGTAGACCCCAGGGATGAAAAGCAAACAGAGGGAAGGGAAGTTGTTGGCTGTGATATTGATAAGGATGCTTTTAACTTAAGTAAACCAGAGGTTCAGAACTTGTGTGCACTGCTGAGCTGTGTAGGAGCCACAGGGCCAGTAAGAAAACCAGTGCAGTTCATTGGCAGGTCCAAGAATATATTTGAGCTAGAAACCCAGAAGTTGTTTGTGGCTTGGAAGTTGGGTTCTAGTCAAGATGCTGAGCAGGAGCATAAATCAAAGCAGTCAGTAAAGGAAGGGAGACGTTGAAGAAGTCAAAACAGCTTACAGAGAGCTGGACATGCTAAAACAAATAGAAATGTTTCAAGTATGCCAAAAACAAGAAGCTTGAGAATGTGTCAGCAGATCTGCCAGCTTACAAGGGACAAGTGAGGAAGCTAAAACTGTGATTGAGGAACACTGCAACTTCCAAGCAGGAGTCACCGTCATTGCAGCTGAAGGTCCTGGTCCCATTCTTCTTGTTTAAGGTAACAGAGAAGAGATGCTGTCAAGGGCAGGGCTTGGAGAAAAAGTTCAGGTGCAAGCTGATGGCTTGAAAAGTGTTCAGTGTCTGCACCCAGATGGTTCACCCAAGAGTTCTGCAGGAGCTGGGCTGAAAGCTGCAAACAAACATACATCTTTCTGCATTAAAACCAGCTGCTGTTCCAAGGAGCCAGAGGCTTTGCCTGTATTTGAAGAAAAGCCTTAGGATCAGTGTAGACAGTGATGGATAGAAAGATGAGGGGGAGATGTTCCTGGCAATTTGATAGGAAAGATAATTAGCAACAGAATGACAAAACACCAGGAGGATGAGAGAAATCAGTAGAGCCCGAGAACACATTCACATTTCTATGTTGGAGAACGTTGTCTCATTGCTCTGTTAAGAGTTATCTCACGCCAATGAAGCTGAGGGTAAGTAAGAAGCAGCTGGTATAATGTACACTTCATTCCTGCACAGGAGGCTGTCAAAGAGTGACTCACAGCCTTGGTGAAGAAAGCAAGTGGCCCTAAAAAAGAGCCTGTGACATCTACATATCAGCCTGGGTAGCAGCAGGCCTGTTAGGCTGGGCTGCGTGTCCAGCCCTTCCCCTTGGGTTAGGGCTGTTGGGGTGATAGTGTCTGCTTCTGAGGTTTGGCTGTGATCTGTGCCTCCCACCAAACCCCGTCCACCTGCCCACCCACCATGCTGGGGACACTTCTCACCAGGGCTGGATGTCTCACTGCCGCTCTGCTCTCCCCCTGCAGGAAAGTCCCACCTGGCCATCGTGCAGCGGGTGAACAACGAGGGGGAAGGAGACCCATTCTACGAGGTGATGGGCATTGTCACCCTGGAAGATGTCATTGAGGAGATCATCAAGTCCGAGATCCTGGATGAGACGGATCTGTACAGTTAGTGTCCCAGAGCAGCTACTGCGGTTGCAGGAGCCAGGGTGGGAGCCGTCACAGACAGACAGACGTGGGTAGGAAACAGGCCAGAGCAATTTGTGGTCCTTCCCCAGAGCAATCACTGTCATGGTGGGAAATACAAGAACGATGGAGAGATGCTGGCCAGGTGTTAGGGAGTCTTGAATGCTTAAAGTAGAGAAGCATCAGTAGCTGGTGGCTGGACAGGGCCTGACCCAGGGACATGTATGTGAAATGCCCATGGGTGGTTCCCAAGCTCTTTTGCAACTCTGGGTGATGCATCCAAGCCAGGGAAACCCAAGACTTGTTCCTGAGGAAGAAGTGTGTTTCATGATCCTGCTCCCTGCCCAGGGAGCTGCTCCCAAGTCTGTGATGCAGAGCACGTTTTTTGCTGCTCCATCTGCTGTTCCACAGCAGCCCTGCCATAGGGTGCAGCAAGATGTGCCTCTCTATGCATGTGCATGTGCATGCTTTGTGGCTGCTGCAGGGGAGTGACCGCTCTGCTCTGCCTGCAGCGGACAATCGGAAGAAGGAGCGGGTTCCCCACCGGGGGCGCAAGCCCCAGGATTTCTCCATCTTCAGGCTCTCAGAGAGTGAGATGAAGGTGAAGATCTCCCCACAGCTCCTCCTGGCTACCCATCGGTTCATGGCAACAGGTACACTTGCCCTTGTGCCAGCCCTCCAGCTCCCTGCAGCAGCACCAGCCCTGCAAGGCATCCCTAAGCTATTCCTGGATCAGCCCCCCCCACTGAGCAGTTTTCACCTGCCTGGACCCACAACCTGGTCATCCCACCAACGTGGCTCTGCCTTTGGCTGCTCTCTGGGCAGTGGGGTGCTAAGGCTGCAGGAGGGGGCCATGCAGCTCAGAGGATGAGGGGTTCCTGGCAGCCCCAGACCTGCTGAGCATAGCATGCATGTGTTGCCTCCCCTCTAGAAGTGGAGCCTTTCAAGTCCCCCTACCTCTCTGAGAAGATCCTGCTGCGGCTCCTAAAACACCCCAATGTAATCCAGGAGCTCAAGTACGACCGAAAGAACAAGAAGGCAGCAGAGCATTACCTCTACCAGCGCAACCGCCCCGTCGACTACTTTGTCCTCATCCTGCAGGTGCCTGGAGCAGTGGCAAGCAGAGGGTGGGAGGGAGTGGCCCCATTTTCTCCTCACCACCTTGTTCTGGGCTGCTTTGGCCAGTAAAGGTGCCCGTGCTCTTGTATGGGACAGCAGGGGTCCCTGCAGCCCTGGGTAGGACAGTGGCTAGGAACATAGGGTGCCTGTCTGACAGGGTTTTTATTCTCCTTTCAGGGGAAAGTGGAGGTGGAGGTTGGCAAGGAAGGACTGCGGTTTGAGAATGGAGCATTCACTTACTATGGTGTCCCTGCCATCATGGCTGTCGTCTCCTCAGGTGAGGCCTCTGCAGTCTCCCTTTGGCCCACCTTTGATTCAGCAGCATCCATGGAGGCTAAGTCAGCTGGTGGCTGGGGGAGGGGGCTGGCCATGGGGTGGGGTGGCCCTGCTGCCAGATATGGGGCAAGTGGGAGCCCTTCCTCTTCTATTCCCACAGCTCCAACTGTTGTTTCAGATAATGATGTGCGAAAAGTGGGAAGCCTGGCTGGATCCTCCTTCCTATGTAAGTATTTCGGGACAGGCTAGGGCCCTAAAACCTCTCCTCTGAAGCACTGACTGGCTGGCTGGAGGAGGGCTGGTTTTTCACCCCTGCAGAGCAGCTTAGACTCTGTGCTGAGGTCATCCCTTAAAGATCTTTGCAGAGAAACAACATGTTAAGGAGCTGATGCACCAAAGTCCCCACAGAGGGAGTTTGAGGTCCCTTTGAAGTTTCCACCATGTGCTGGATCTCTGCAGGTGGGTCCCAGCACAGCTGGTGCTGCAAGGGGTCCTGCCCAAGGGTGGCAGCATGCTCATGCCAATGGGAGCAGTGAACCCTGTGACCCTGGGAGCAGTAAACCCTGCAACTTCTCACATGGTTCTTCTAAGTCTCAGTGTGACATCTCTGGACCCATTTGCATTCCCAAGGCTCAGGGCATGAGATGAGCATAGGTCCCGCACTGGGGGAATGGGAGCTGCTTGGAAATTGTAGAGGTGTGTCAATTTACCTGTGGGATATTTGCATGTGGTGATGGTAAATTAGCTGAGTTGGTGCCCCAGTGCTGATAAATTCCCTGCCTGAAGAAGCAGATCCTCTGCTTGCAGATGTTAAGAGGGAGCTCTGATTAGGGGAGACTGTGAGGTACCCCCTTCTTTGCTGATCACCCCTGCAAATATTTAGTCCCTGGTGGCTCAGGAACAGGTTGAGGTGCTGCCTACCCCCAGTCCATCACATCCCTTATCCAAACCCAGATGTTGCAGTCAGATCTGCAGTGCTGATGGTAAGCTGAGATGCTCTTGGTGCCTAATCAAAACAAGAACCCACTATGTTTAACCTTTAGGGAAAAGTAAAGAGGAATGTGATTGAGAGAACAGGAGAAGTCCCTTGGGGCAAGTGACTTACTCTGGTGGGTACCAGTCTTTGTGCAGCTCTAAGGTTCACCTGTTTCCTGCTACTTGGTTTGCTTCCATTCAAAAGGCTGGCTCGTGGAGTGCTGTATTAACCCCTCAGTGCTCATCCCTGCTTCCCATGCGTCCACAGTGCACTCAGTTTGGACAGAGGAAATCAGTGACGTGGTTGTTGTTGCTGGGTGGCCCAATGCCCCCATGTCCTGGGTGATGGTTCTCAGGGCCCCACTGGGGCTCACGCAGCCCACAGGCCACGGGCCAGGCAGGGCTGTGTCAGCTGTGTCAGTGCAGCCATGCATATCTGCCGTGCCACCTGCCGGGACACTGCTGATCCCCATGCTCACATGACACTGTCACAAGTTGTTTTCCACTGTGCAGGCATCCCTGCCTGACATGGGACATATGTGGCATCACACTCCTGGCCAGCAAGGAAGCAGGCTGGGAAGCAGAGGTGACAGGGCATCTCCCTTGTCAGGCTGGCATCCTCCTTCCTCCTAGAAGGAAAGCCCAGCAGAAGTGAGTGTGAGTTGTGTATCACAGCTGAGAATTCTGACATTAACCCTTGAGCATTTAACAGTTATTAATTAACTGTTGTTATGCAACTTTTTTGTCAACAGCTGATCTTTTGCATTGGTGCCCTGTGGTGGCAGATGCTGTGGGAGGGTTGGGTGGTGAGAACAGGCAGTGAGTGCTGGTGGTTATCAGCTCGTCCTTTGCCCCCATCTGGACAAGTTTGTTTGGGGCAGTGCTTCATGGTGGTGGTTTTTTTTATTTGCAGAAGGTTTTTATTTGGGGGAGGACATGGAACAGGAGTTACTGGGGAAGAGAGGGGAGATCAGAAAATGAGACTGCAGGGCAAATTTCCTGGGGCAATTTAAAAACATTAATCACAGAGGCAGAAGATGGTTCCTAGAATATTGCAGCCATGCTACAGGCACAGTGGCTGGAGGTAGGGCAGCCAGAGGGCTTGTATCTCCCAGTGCTTTTGAGGCAGGCACTGGCAGAGAGCAAAGATGAGGTACCGGAGAGTGTTAAGGAGTGCACCACTCAGCCTGTGTGTTGGTCTCTCTGTGCTCCCCAGTGGAGCCCAGTACCCTGTGGCATGGCCCAGGGATGCTGTGGAGGGCAGTAATCACAGGGAGGGGGAACAACCTGCCCTTGAAATTGTCACTGCTGCTGTAACCCATGGCAATAAAACATGGAATGCGAGTGTCTATGATTTACCCTCTTCGTGGCAATGGGTCAGATAGCCCTGGATGCAGGATCCTGGCTTCTTAAGTTCCTGCAAGGATCAGTCCCCAGTGGGTAGCTCTTCTCAGCATTGCCCCGAGGCTATTGAGACCCAGGGCCTTGCAGGGAACTGCAGACAGCCTGGCATGAATCCCTTTGCTTTCAAGGGATTCAAGGTGAATCACCCTCTGCCTGCCCCTGCCTGCAGCTGTGGGGCTGGGGCAGGAGCTGTTGCAGAGCACATTCCTTCTCTGCCGTGTTCCTGCACACACAGAAGCATCCCAGATGCCAAGCACAGTGATTTACCTTCCTCTCATTTCCCAGGTGGCATAAGCTGACCACAAACTCCCCTGTCCTGGCAGTGGCTGGCAAAGGGTTAGAGCAGGATGCCAGCACTCAGGCAATTGGAGGAAGATGCTTTCTACCCATGCCAAGGCTCTAAAGAGTTGTGTGGCTGTGCAGACAGGCCTGGCAGGAGCTGGTTCTCACCCCCCTAACCTCACCTCCCCTTACTTCATCACAGAGCAGCCTGTTGATTTACAGCATTCAAGTCTGTGTTCCTGCTGTTGTCCCTGTCCCCAGGACTGGTGAGCACCTTCCCAGAGCAGAAGTAGTAGGGGGGAAGAGGGGAGGGAAGGGATACTGGAGAGAGCAGTGGGAGCTCAGCCCAGGACTGCTAGCACATGATGCTTTTTCTCATTCTTCCTCTTGGTCTGTACCCCCCCTCACCTCTCCCCGGGTCTCCTCCTTCCTACCCTGTCCCTCTCTCTGCAGTGCCTGTCTCAGTGTCCCGTACCTTCGCCTTCAGCAGAGGGGACTCCCTGGCTGGCTCTCCAGGTAACAGAGCATGGCTTTGGCCAGGGACCTCTGCATGTGGCAGGCTCTTTCCAGCACCCTGTCCTCAGTGCCCCAAGCCCCCTCCACCCTGCATGCCAGGCAGTGCCAAGAGAGGAGCACACAGCACCCCATGCTGGACAGCCCCTCACTGGTTGGAGCATGGGTGGTGACTGGGGACAGCAACCCTCTCCAGTATGATGCAAATCCCAGAAAGAATGGGATGGGGACAAGGGAGAGCCATGGACAGCTTGGCCTTTCTTTAGTGTGCACTTTCTGTAATTTCCTGCACTTAAAAATTGGAGTTTTGACTTACTGCTTTTGATGACGTTACCTGCAGCCCTGCATGCATGCTGCCCTGCTTCCCTTGCTTTCTGGCAATCTGGGTAATAAAAGGGCATTTTAGAAGCAGAGCAAAGTCAGCACAACATCACCCATGTAAGGAACAAGCTGCCTTTGTTTCCTAATAAATCGTTGACTAGACAAAATCTGTCACACTGTGTGTCAGAGGCCATCAATCAACGTGAGTGACAGGCCAGCTTGCCATGGCAGCTTCTGCTCCCAATCTGTCAGTCCGGGTGAACAGGAGCATGCCCTCGAAGCAGGTTGAGCAAACACCCATGGGCTGCCGGCTGCAACCAGGAGAAGTTGTGCCAAATGCAGTGCAGAAGGTCAGCATTAGCAAGAGAGCTGTCAGTGACAGGCGGGCAGCAGCCCTAACCTCTGCTGCCAGTGCCAGGTCGGATGCCTGCCCGGTCCCTTTGGTTTGAGAGGCTGGCATGGCACAGTCTCCACCAACAGTGTGCACTGGCCCCTGCCAGCCCTGATGTCCTGGGGAAGAGCCACTGGAGGTGACTGGTCCACCTTGGCCCTACACCGGCACTGGGAACCCAAGCAACGCCACGAGTGAGAGTGAGTGTTTGCCTCTCTGCTGTGCCCTCCTGCAGTGAACAGGTCCCCGTCGCGGTGCAGCGGGCTCAACCGCTCCGAGTCCCCCAACCGGGAAGACTATGGGGGCAGCAGCACACAGCTCCACAGCAGCAGCAACAACATCTACACACCCGACTATTCCGTGCACATCCTCTGCGATGTGCAGTTTGTCAAGGTATGGGCTGGGCTGGCAGGGACTGCACCACCCTGGACACACCTGCCTAGACACCCTCTTGCCCCAGGAGCTTGGTGGGTGCCCAGTGGGTGGTGGGGGTCCCACACTCCTATTGTCCAGAGGTTTGGTGTTGCCAAGTCTCCAGGAGGTCCTGGTGGGGCTTGGTGCCCTCTGAGCCGGTGCACGTGTCTGTGTGCCCAGGTGACTCGGCAGCAGTACCACAATGCACTGGTGGCCAGCCGCATGGACAGCTCACCCCAGTCACCTGACATGGAGGCCTTCGACAGGGATTCAACCAAGGCCTCGACCGCACGGGGAACCCCACAGACACCCAAGGAGGATCCCACCACCCTCTTGAACGAGAGAAACAATGTCATGTGTGAGTCAGCAGCATTCCTTCCCTGGCACAGGCCGATGCTTCATGTCCCCTGGGATTTTGTGCTGGGCTCCTCTGGCATGATGCACACACCACCTCTGAGGTGCAGTTGCACATGAAGTGGGGCACATGGGCGTTTGCACGCCCACACCTGTGGACGCTGTTTTGTGCCTGTACATGCACACAGGTGCTAACGTGCAGACATAATTCCTCATTGCCATGCACTCGTGTCCCCCGGGGTCCCTGGTAGCGGAACCTGCTGCTATGGCTGGGATCCTGCCTGCCATGTCCTGCCCCAGGGCACACCACCATCACGCCTGCCCTGTGTCCCTGCAGGCAGCCACTCCGAAGGGCTGCACAGTCCCAGCGATTCGGTGTTCCTGCGCATGGAGGGCATCCCCTTCATCCAGGAGGAGCTGGCTGACAATGAGGAGAACAGCAAGCGGCAGAGTGAGTCTGGCTGGGGTACACGAGGGGGGTGGAGATGGCTGTGGTGCCCTGAGGCGCTGCAGCCATGCTGAGCTTTTGCAGACAGTGAGTGCTGCGAGACCGTCCAGGAAGCAGAGTCTGCAGGCAGAGAGGCCAGGACCAGCTCATCCCCGAGCAGCTCTGAGGAGGCGCTAGGCAAGAGGCTGCTGAGATCCCTCAGTGAGTGACTGAGGGGGAAGGGGAAGGACCACCCAGGGGAGAGCTCTGCCCCAGCACCCTGCTACCCATGTCAACTGCTCCCCAGCCTTGTCCTTGGGACACCCTGCCTGGGGCTGGCATGGAACAGCCCAGTTCCCTGTCAGTGCCCCAGCAGCAAGGCAAAACTGCTCCTAGGGCTAGCTCAGGCAGAGCCAGCCACCTGGTCCTGGCCCAACCCTATGCACCCCCTGTCCTGAGCACCCTTGGCTCCCAGCACCCCAGCTCTAGGCACCCTTGCTGCTGCAGGTGGGCGAAAGCAGCGGACATCATCGGAGGGTGAGAAGACACCAGAGGAAAGCTCCAATCTCGCCCCATTAATCACCTGAGCAACAGCGTGGCTGGAGCACAGTGCTGGAGGCCCATGCAGACTGGAGGTAGGAACCTGCTTCTTGGTACAACATTCCTTCCCCGGCAAATGGGAGGTCCCTCAATTTAAATAGCATAAAATCCATTTTCAAGCAGCAAAGCCCAATGATGTGGTTTGGAGCCCACATAGGCACACATGTTTTGGGGGGCTGAAGTAGGGTCAAGGGATATAGTAGCAGACTGGGTGTCAGAGACCGAGTGAGACCTTGACTCGTGTTTTCACTAGAAATGTGTGTCTGTACCAATACCCCTGAGCCTGGCTAGGAAAGGTGTTGCAAATTTGAGCAGCAGCAGGTCATGGACAGCAAGCTCTGGCCACCTGCACCAGTCTGTGTTTGTGTCTTCCAGGTCTGCAGCATGGGGGTCTCCTGCCATGAGGCTCATGTCCAACAGCAGGAGGTCTGCACTCGCTCGCTGCCTGCCCGCCCACTCGTGCCGCCCCTCCCTGCAGGACTTGTGCAGAGCCCCATCCCCAGGCGAGAAAGGATGTGCCCCTGGCAGGGCTGAACCACCCAGGCAGCCTGGACCAGTTAGCTGGAGTCCGAGGGCCCTTGCCCAGCTGCTCCCTGGTAGCATCTGGTCTCAAGGAATAGGTGGAAAAAGGAAAGGTGGGGAAGTGTCTGTCACGGTGTCCCTGCAGGCAGAGCAGGGAGGGGCGGCCCAACCCAGAACTGCCCTTAGCATCATTTACCATCCCCATCCCAGCAAGGCCTGGAGCCCCTTGGTGCTGCACAGATGTCGTCTCCACCATGAGGAGGATGTGCTATTTGGGGGGTGCCACCTGCAGCTCAGGGCCCCAGCACATGTTCGTGCCGTACCTGGTGACATGCACGCTTGCAGCGCCTTGCTCACGCTGACCATCGACTCAGCCCCGCACTCCCGAGCCCCTGCTAGGCACAGGGCAGGGAGCCCCACTCACTCCCGAGTGCAGACCCCTCCCTGGGGAGGGCCTGCTCCATGCTACATTGGACCATTTTCCTCTCCACACATGCCCACCTGTGTGAGGGAGGCTCGCACCAAGCCTTTGGTTTGGTACAGACCAGTCAGTAGTTTTTGTAGAGGCTGAACGCAACAGGGATATTAAAAGTGATTTTTCCCTGAGCAATGCCATCTCTGTGTCAATGGTTGTAGGGAAAGATGTGCTAACCCCTCCCACCAGGCCAGGCTGCCCTCATACCCAAGGCCAGGGATGGCTGGAGTAACTGGACTCAGCATCACTGAAGGGAGCAAGTAGAGGAACAGGTCAGCAAGTGCTTCCCAATTTCTCTCCATGAACCTGGGCTCTCTGTCACTCCTGCTGCCAGGAAAGCAACCTGGCATGCAGAGTTACACCACAGCAGTGCAGACAGGGACTGGGGAAGAATAGGAGTTAATATCATGCTATTGCAAACACAATAGTGGGAAACACATGCTGGAGTACAGCCTGACAGATAACAACAGAAATCTCATAGTCCACCCATGCTGATAAAACTTCAGGTGGAATAACTGCAACTCTGCCTGGACGCTGCCCTTTCTAAGGAAACACATAGCAAGTGAAGGGTAGACAGAGGAAAGCAAGGGCTGGAAAACAACCTACCCCAAAGGCTGAAGGAAACAGAGTCACTTTAACCTTAACTGGTGAAGGATGTGAAGGGGAGAGAGGAAGTTTTCAAATACCTAAAAAGCTGTTGTAAAGAGGAAAGGAATAATCTGTTCTCTGTTGCCATGGTAAATGGCATAATGGGTAATGAGCTTACACCACAGAAAAGGAGAAATTTAGGTCACTTGCTAGGAAAAACAAGGTTGGTAAGGCTAGCAAAGCACTGATACAAATCACATGTAGGGCCAGATGTGGGCCAGGCTCCACATCTGGAGGTCTGTAAGGACAGAATTGTAAGCAGATTTCAGAAATAACAAAAGCAGACTTGGTTCCTTAACTCCTTCTCCTGAGATCACTCCTGAAAGTCATCCTTTAACCACTTCCCCATCATCCCTTTTGTGGATGGACACCAAGAAGAGAAAAAGCTCCCCACCTGCAGAAAGAAAAGGCTGCCTCTGGCTCATTCTTTTATGTGGCATGACATAATCCAGAAAGGACAAATGAGACTCCATGTACTGTCTATGTGCAAATACAGCAAAGGAACAAGGCACCATTTTGCCTTTTCTGCCTAAGCTGCAGCACAAGCAAACCCATCCAGGCAACCGTAACTATTGCTAACTGACCCAAGGAAAGCAGCTGTTCCCCTTTCTCCACCAAGATCTTGTCAGGAGGCTGCTCTGTCAAGGTGGTAATATCAGCTCACGAATAGATCTGCAGTGACTGCAGAGAGCAGGAGCAGATGGTCCCACCTCTTTTTCAGTGCCAGAAACACAGGCTGTTGCTGGCAGGCCCCACTGAAGCCAGGGACAGTAGATGGTGGTTCACCAGGGGCCTGCTGAAAAGGATGAACCGGAAAGATCCATTTTTTGACACCCTAGGGGCAGGCCAGAAGCTCTGGGTCAGGGAGAGATGGCCATATGGCTGGGAAACACATGACCATCCAGAAAGCAAGCATATACAGACACACAGGATGAGCTGGACAGCGCAGGGCAGAGGGACAGAAAGAGGAACACCGGACAGACACGGGAGGAACTGGTCAGCTTCATGTAGAATCACAGGGAGCTTTCAGAAACACCATCCAAATAAGACTCCCCCTTCAGTAGCAGCTGAGATCATTAGAGATGCAACACCCTGAGGCAGAAAAGGGACAGCCTTAAAACAAACTGAGTAAGAACCAGTGGACAAAGCAGAATGTTGAGGCTTTAACCTCAGCCTGGGAAGAGGTTTGTACAGCCTGAAGGCATGGTATCACACAAGGCAGGGATAATATACAGAGACGGAGGTTTAATTTTCTGTCAGCTACACAAAGAAGCATTTATCACAATTACAAATGTTTGCTCGTATAAGGCTCAGAAATTGGGAAGGGGTGGGGTGAAGGGAGGAAGTTAGCAACAGCTTTGCCCCTCCCCAAAATACTACTGAATGACATTAATTCCCAAGCCGTATGAGATCCCAGCCACTGGGCTGTCATCCCACAGCGCATTGCACTGGCACCAGACTTTGCCTAGATCAAACTGATCAGTTATGTGCAGTTGATTTGGATGTGCTAAAGATGCAGCTCTAAGTACCTGAAGACCAGGCTGCTATCAGTGAAACAAGAGCTGAGGTGGCTAACACTACCCCCACCCTCCCAGGGGCACTGGCTTACCATATTGCATGGGGTACTTGAAAAAAGTCAGGAGATGGTTATCCCTGATTGAGCTACCTATCGCTCCCATCTTTATTAAACCCCAAGAGGTGTGGGACAAGGCAAGCCATGAGCAGAGAAAGACGTGGACTACACACTATAGCTTTGGTGACTTCATGTAAGTTTGGTTGTTCATGTGCTTCATTGGATTTTTGTGACGGCTTCATGGATGGACTTGGCCACATAGTCCAGGTTCTTGGTAGTCAGGCCACACATGTTGATGCGCCCACTAGCCAACAGGTAGATGTGTTTTTCCTTGACCAGGTACTCCACCTGCTTAGCTGGGGAAACAATTGGACATCAGGTCAGAGCAGTGACTCATAGTTCAGAAAAGCCCAAAGAACCAGCCAGCAATGCTTGAATCTTTCACAGCAAGCAGAAAACTTCAAGCACTGGCCACTAAAATGCTGTCTGATGCTTCATCCCTCCCTAACCACAGAGGCAGTGATGCCAAAACTCCAGTGAGGCCCCCAAGAGACTCCTGCTTGGACTGCTTCAGCCCATCTCACCCACAGCAAAACTGTCTTTACCCAAACCTCCCTTTACCAGGCCACTTGATACTTACGGTTCAACCCTGTGAAGCTAAACATGCCGATTTGCTCTGTGATGTGGTTCCAGGTTCCAGGGGTCCCAAGGGCCTCCAGTCGAGACCGGAGCTCTGACCGCATCAGCAAGACCCGATCTGCCATTGTCTTCACATTGCCCTTCCTGCAGCAGGCAGGAAACAGAGTATGAAGATAGGCACCCACCTGGTGTGAAGCCACCTGGCCAACCCTGGCACTCAGGGAGACAGTTTCCCTCCCTTTCCCTCTCCCACCAGCCCTGGTAACACGTACCACTCATCAAAGAGCTGCGGGGAAGAAAGCGTAGTTGCCACAATGCGCGCTCCCTGGGAGGGAGGGTTGGACCAAGTGGTGCGCACGATCTTCTCCATCTGGGAAAGCACACGCTTCACGTTGTCTGCATCCTTCCCCACCACAGTCAGGTTCCCCACACGTTCATCTGTGGGACAAGCCAAGAAATGTGAGCCATTGGTTCCAAACATTGTGGCAAAGCAGAGCATTCCCCACCCTTCGGCATGCCAGCCCCATCTGTCTGTGTATGATGCTACTGGGCCAGCTTATTGCCAGACACTCACTGTAGAGCCCAAAGTTCTTGGAAAACGACTGTGCACAGAAGAGCTCAAAGCCCTCGGAGACAAAGAATCGCACAGCCCAGGCATCCTTGTCCAGGCTGCCAGAAGCAAACCCTTGGTACGCCGAGTCGAAGAACGGAAACAGGCTCCGGCGCTGCAAGGAGGAACAGTGTTAGAGGGAAATCCCCTTCCCACAACCTGCACTTTATCCCCCACAGTACTCATAGGAAAGAAAAATAACCATTGAGCTTTTGCATGAACACAAAGGAAACATGGTCCAGCAACACCAGACTGAAATACTTCCTTTCTATTGGGGTAAAAGAATAGGAAGACTAAAGTGGTCAATAAAAGTCAATGCAGGAGAAAACTGCATTTGAGGACACAGGTACAAGAGATGCGCCACTTTATATAATACTATTCAGCACCTGCCCGCAGATATCCTTTCCAGCAGAAGAAACATCACTACAGCCCATGCCACAGAGGGGCACGAGCAGGACTGGGATGCTATTTGTCCCCTCAGCACTGCTTTAGCCCCAGCAGCAGTCCATACCTTCATAACAGCAGCAATCTGCTTCCACTGCTCAGGAGAAGGGTCTGTGCCTGTTGGGTTGTGTGCACAGGCATGGAGGACGAAAATGGAAGACTCTGGGGCGCTCTGAGGAGAGAACATGTCTTGGTCACATACAAACATAGATGAGACTGGGCACCCTCAGCAGAGAGAGAGGTATGGAGCTGCTCTGGGTACCAACAGTCTCTTTTGCAGAGATCCTCTTCCAGGCACAGCACACAAGGGCCCAGACAGCTGCAAATATTGAACAACACCAAGCTCAGCCCATCCCATGCTAGTTTTACTCACCTCCATGTCATTCAGCAGCCCCTGGATATCCAGACCTCTCTTGGCAGCATCCCAGTAGTGGTAGGGTCTAATATCTTTGAAACCAGCATCCATAAACACAGAGTTGTGGTTCTCTGAGGAAAGAAATAACTTTTCAGAAAAGCAGGCCCTACCTCCAGCAAGCTGCTTTCTCCAGTCCCAGCATCTCCCTTTACTCACAAGAGAAGGCTCCTCTCTCACTGCCCAGGCCCCTGCCAGGAGAAGAGCTGTGCCTCCCTCGCCTGCTAACCCACAGGGCTCCCTGACAACAGCACTCACCCCAGGTTGGACTGGAGACGTAGACTGGGGTCGCTGTGTTGTTGTTTCCATTGTACCACCGCCTCAGGAAGTCCGCGCCGATCCGCAGAGCGCCTGTCCCGCCCAAGGACTGAACGCTTCCAACCTGCAACAGAGAGAGTTGCCAGCAGAGTCCACCCAGGTCAACATTGCTATCGGTGCACAGAGAGCAGAGGCGCTTGCAAGAGCAAGACAGGATGCCAGACATGCTCCCTGGGGTCACCCCAGCCAGGACACCATCGCCTTCCAGTGGTCTTCAACCTCCTTCAGTGCTCAGGCCCATCCTGACAACTTCTATAGTTATAAATAGACTCGAGTTATTCCCATTACGTTTTGGCACAGAGCAGATTTCCAACTAGTAGTTTGTTTCAGGAAAGGTAGTATATTATCTGACTTTGGTTTCCTGTGGGGAAACTGTTAAAAGATGAAGGAAAAAGCAAATTCCAATCACATACCCGGTTCTCCTTGATGGCAGGGCTGTCGTCACCCAGGGCGATCCGGGAGGCGTTGGCACGGAACTCGGGCAGGC